AGCATAAATGCCAACATGGGAACACAGATCGTAAGAAGAAAAAGAGATTATTGGGAAGAACAGAACTGGAACCCTCTCAAATGGAAATCCATTTAATACTAGGATGTAGATATGGGGACAGATTTTTGAAAGCTTTTGATTCACAAAATGTGTGCCTAACTTTTAAATACAATTGCACTTACAGTTTGTGCATTTGCATATGAAAATAGCCAATTCTTGTCATGTGCATACAAGAACCCAACGCAATCATAGTAATTACATATGCAAAATAGAGGTCCAGTTGTGCAATCTTTACAATGATGAACATGCACTCCTGTGACATGTCTCATTGACTTTAATGGGGCTGCTCATAAGGCTGCAAAATCTGGCCTTAGGCATGCAGTCAAGCATATATTGGCCTATTGTAGATATAGATCACATTACAGATTTCACAGTTTGAGTATGGCTTTTAAGGGGTTCCTGCTCTGACTTATGCCTGGTTTTTCCCTCCCCCGAAACTGAGAAAACATGTAACTAAATTCAGCCTTTCCTCTGCGTAGAGAGAGATTTTGGGGAAAGAGGTTACTTGCTGTGGAAGCTCAGGGAGTTTCAAATATTTAGTCGTTTAGTCTTTTAAAAGAAATCTTGAACAGAAACGTAGTGTACATATATAACTAAGGCCCTGATTCTTGAGCCAGGACTCATAAGTACTCTGCAACAAAGCCCCCTCATTTCTGCAGCATTCTGGTGCAGAAGTGTGATGGGGCATGTGCCCAACACTGGCTTGTAAGGGGTTAATGGAGCCCTAGAAAGGCTGTGCAGAAAGTAGCCATTAGGAGAGGGGCTGCAAGGAGCAGCCAATGAGGGCCAGGCAGGCCCACATAAGAAGAGCTGCAGGGCCAAGCAGGTTTAGTAGCAGAGTTCCCTAGAGTTTGAGGCTAGAGGCCTGGTTGCCTTGCAGGTAGAAGAAAGCTAGCATCCTGGGCAGAGCAGTGTTGGGTAGGATTAGGGGAGAGAGAGCAAGCTCCTGGTTGGCTGTTAAGACTGGCATGCTGAGGCCCTGAAGTAAGGATGAAGAAGGTGGTAGGACTGTAGGGAAGTGGCCCAGGGAAATAGACTGAGCGGTTGAAGGAGATGCAACTGGCTGTTATCTCCAGCTCCCTGGGCCAGTACCCAGAGTAGTGGGCGGGCCTGGGTCCCCTCCCGGTCCTTGCCACTGCGGAAGTGGCTGGACTATTGGGCTGCAGTACATTGCCCTGGAAGGGCAGAGTACAGAGTGTTGCACAGCTGGAGAGCTGTGTCATGAAAATGATGCCATGGTCCTGGGAGTGATGTGGGTCCTGGAGCAGAAGTGACAGTGGTGAGACACCACCAGAAGAGGGTGCACTGGCTAACAGAGCTAATCGCTGGTACAGTCAGCAGGAGGTTCTGTAGTGGTGAGTCCCACCCGATCACAGGGTGATTAGAAATTTTGTAGTGGATTCCAGTAATTTTTTGAAAATATCATAGAATATCAGGGTTGGAAGGGACCTCAGGAGGTCATCTAGTCCAACCCCCTGCTCAAAGCAGAACCAATCCCCAACTAAATCATCCCAGCCAGGGCTTTGTCAAGCCTGACCTTAAAAACCTCTAAGGAAGGAGATTCCACCATCTCCCTAGGTAACCCATTCCAGTGCTTCACCACCCTCCTAGTGAAAAAGTTTGTCTTAATATCCAACCTAAACCTCCCCCACAGCAACTTGAGACCATTACTCCTTGTTCGTTCATCTGGTACCACTGAGACCAGTCTAGATCCATCCTCTTTGGAACCCCTTTTCAGATAGTTGAAATCATATTGAATTAAATATGAAGGTGAATATTATAATCAGTACTTATTTTAATGTTAAACTCAATTTTAGACAGCCCCAAAACATTCAGTGTAGCACAGAACTGTATGCTGCAAGTGCACCAACTCCATAGTATTTGTTTGTTAACTAGGTATAGAAATGCAAAATGTATTGTGCATTCTACAAGAATAAGAGAAGTCGAGTATTTACATGACTCTTCTTTGGTGAGTAGTTCAGGGTAGAAACTAAAACTGGTGGAAAGGTTTCTTTGCCTTTCTTGTCCTTCAAGGGCTAGATTTTGATACACACTAGTAAATCTCCTTACTCCACTACAAGTAGCCTTATTGAGTAAGGTGCTGCTAAACTGGAGAAAAGATATTAGAATCTGAATCTTACAATATTTGTGTTTGGAATGGGTTTCTGAGACCAGTTTCAAGAAACGGCTGTTCTGAAAAGTCATTTGTCCATATGATATGGCACTAGTTAGTATGGTGAGACATTCAGTATCATCCATATGAAGAAGTGAGGTTTTTACTCACGAAAGCTTATGCCCAAATAAATCTGTTAGTCTTTAAGGTGCCACCAGACTCCTTGTTGTTTTTGTAGATACAGACTAACACAGCTACCCCCTGATACTTGAGTATCATCTAGAAATTCCCAGAGCCTGGATTATTAGGGGTGAAGCAGAACATGTCAAAAACGAGAAACAAATTTTTGTAGTAGAGATGAATGCTACATTTTAGTGGAAATGGTGCAGACACCTTAACTGCCACTTTAGGATATTTTTCAAGCTACACAGTGAGTCAGGTTTCTGAGGCCCAATAGTGACATCTTGTGGCCACTTAGAACCAAACCCCCCATTTCCTCTTCTAACCGCTTACATTCTTTGTCTGGTACAGTATCTAAAGATAAAGCTCAACTGTATGCATAGTGTCTCACTTATCCATCTCAGTTTTGTCCTGTCCTGCTTCACCCGTAATAATCCAGGCTCTGGGTATTTCTAGAGGATACTGAATGTCTCACCATATTAACTAGTGCCTTATATGGACAAATATGCACGAAGGACCAGAAAGTGACGACCACTAAATGTATTTTCCTGTGATAAAACAAGATTGAATTCACTTCTCTATAAATTGAAGACTAGTATTTTAGCTTACTCCACTGCTTACCTTCTCATTTGCTGTTTTTAGACTGAACAGGAGTGAACCATTTGTTGTTTTCTATATCCTATAAATCAGAGATGGAAGAGACAGTTTCAGTCTTCTAGTTTTATCTCCCTACCAGGTATGATTTTTTTCTGATTGTACCCATCCTATTGTACACAGAGTGTACCAGGGAAGGTGGGGAGTGGATGTTAGAAGGGTGGCAAACACTCTTCTCTTACAAAAAGTGCACTAGAGAGGATTCCACAGACTGACCAAAGCTTTCCCTTCTGTACCTTCCTCTGTGTTGTGTGCCACCTGACTACCATTCTCTCCCCAGAGGTGGCTGCATTGCAGGGCTGCTGTAAATATTTAGGTTATGAACTAGCAACTGCTCCACATGCGGAATGCTCATTGATTTTAGCCGGTCTGTGTTCAACTGCAATTCGAGGACCAGGTTGATGGTTAGTACAGTAAAGCATTTGGGGCTCCTTCCAGCTCAGAGGTGCTATATAAATAATTCATAGTATGTATGACCCCCGTGCAGAATTCAAATGAGCCAGATTTCAAATCAGTGAGATGTGAAACTTAAGTCTCAATGACACACACACACCAAAACCCTTCGTCACCAGACAAAGACCTAAACTGCCTCAAACCCATAAAACCTCAATCGCCAGAGTCTCTCGGTCTGACTGACCATGGGACATGGCCAGCTGCTCAGTACTTGGCATCCAGGCAGTGGTTAATTTGTAATGAAAGAGGTGCTGGGGCTCAAGCAATTTTTTTACGTTCATAACTGATGCAGCAGGCCCAGAGGTGCTGGGGCTATGAACTGCCAGGCCTAGAGGTGCCGGAGCGCAGCCCTGACATAAATTAAGCACTGCATCCAGGATGCAACAAGCAGAACTCTCGCAGCTCCCCCCGATGCTTTTCGTAAGAGGCGCCAGGGTTTGTCCCAAATCCGGATTCTGCACGTCCACACGGGGCGGCTGAGAGCTCTGCCCCAGAAAGAGGAGCAGGAGGAAAAAGCAATGCAGAAGCGGAGTGAGGGGCAGGGCCTAGGGAGTGGCTCTCCACCAGCCCTGATGCGTTGCTATGGGAACAACCAGCGCGAGGACGTCTCTGGAGCAGCGGGCGCCGCCGTTTCCCCAGACGCCGGCCCACGCTCCCCGCCAAGTCTGCCCCAGCCCACGGCTCCGAGGCACCGAACGCGCGCTTGGCACGGACCTCGTGCGACCCCGTAGGGGGCGGCTCCTTCGGCTGCTGCCTCGCGGGTCTCTTAGCAACCGTAGCCGGGGCAGGAGCCGCTGGGCGGAAGGTCGGTGGGGGCCGAGGGCAGCGTGTGGGGTAGTGCGTGGCCCGCTCTACCCCCGGGCTCCGACCCCTGGGGGGGGTCTCACCCACCGGGACTGAGGGTCTGCGGGCTTCCGTGCGGGGAGAGGGGCTCGCAGGGCCGGGGTAGCCTGGGGAGAGGGCTGGCTACGGGGCCAGGCAGCGATCTCCTGCCCTTCCCCGGGGGCACCGGGGCAGATTCTGCTCCCCTTCCCGTCCAGCGCCGCAGGGGAGCGGGGTGGGGTGGCCCCGTGGGTCGGTCTCCCGTGGCAGATCCTGCAGCGCTCCCCAGCAGCGCAGCCCTGTTGTGAGGCTGGATGAGTGAGAGCAAGCCTGGCTTTGTTCCCGTGTCACGCTGATTGGGCGGGGGGGTCCAATCCGACGTGTCTTGCACACACCCAGATTCCTACCCACTGCACATGGAGCGCTAGGAGCTGCAGGATCGGGCCCCTTGTTTTGCTTCTCTTCCAACGACACCCCAGCGTTAAAGAACGAAATGGTTTAAACTAAGAACCAGCTCTTTTCTGCACGGCTACCGCGGTGGTCTCTCACCTGAATGAAGTATTGGCCAGTTAAAATCCATTTTCAGGGAATAAGCCTCTCATTTCTCTCTGGTGGTTTGACACGTCAGCCAGGACAAGTACTTCAGGTGTTTTGGATTGGACCCTAGCACAAGTGCTTGTATGTATTTTTATTTTATGAGCTCATTAATGGCCTGACATCATTTGATTAGAAAATTATAAGCTTATCTTGAGCCCTTAATTTAAACATAAGAGCATAGTACTGTACAAGTGAGAAAGCGGTTGAAGTTTAGTTGGGCCTGATCAGAGGAATGAAGGCTGGGACCCTTTTAAAGTGAACAGTGCTTTATTGCCTTTGGCTTCAGTGGGCCAATGTGAGTGGCTATGGGTTGCGGGATTGAGCACTTTCTGCAGCCCTGCATCTCCCACAGTTCTGCTAGTCTGGGTGCTCCCCTCCATCCTGCAGTTTCTGAAGGCAATGCAAAGCTGTGACACAGTGTTTGCTGGCCACTCCTCCTTCTCCCACTTACCCAGAGGCACAGAAGTCAAGGGGCAGTTTGTTTTCTCGTAATCTTTTTTTGTCTTTATGATTTTTTTAAGCATTTTCAGGCAATAGCGAGCTTTTTTCTTTGTTCCAAACCTTCTGCGTGGTTTAGGATTGGTGCAGCATCAAGGCCACAGCTGTGGGGAGCCCCTGCAGCAGTGCTTCCCTGCTGAGCTCCTCTGCCCCCTTTTAGGCATGGCACAGCAGCTGTGCAAGTACAGGCAAAGCACAAAAGGTGCTCAATATGTGAGGGAGCTTTCCCAGGCTTGGCAGAGGGTATATTATGTCCAGCCTGCTCCCAGTCAGCCGACCCTAGCGCTGCTAGGACACAGGACTCTGAGTTGGACAGGCATGTTGGGGCCCCTACTCCCCCCAAATAGCCATGAGTCCACTGCAAAAGTCACAGAGCAGAACAGGGAGAGGCTCTGAGGAGGAGGAGGACTTTATCCAGATGATGCAGAGGAGGAGGTAAGTCTTGGGGGTCACACAGGACCACACAGTTAAGACTCTTGCAGGGCTACTGGTCCTCTTCCACAAGTCTTGAAATGGGTCTTAAGCGCCTTAGGAAGATAAGCAGGGCTTATAACCAGCCCTTTCCCTCCCAATTAGAGCCAGGGAACTCTGATAATGAGAGCCCATCCCCTGCTTGGGGGAGTGGGACACTGAAAGGAAGGACTCAGAAGAAGAAGTTTCTAGAGAGCTCCGGGCTGTGCACAAGGCAAGCTGCAAAAGATCGTGCCCTGATTACAGCCAAGCAGTAATCCTCTTAAAGTAGACCAAACAGCCCAAAAGAACTAAAAAGGGAAAGAAAAGGTACAAAAAATCCAGAAGGTACTGTCCTTTGACTTGGACTCCTCTACCAAGGAAGGAGAGATTTTCAGGCTTTGAACCTGAGTAGGACTTGTAAAAAATGCAACAACTTTTTTCCCCCCTGTGAAGTTCGAGGCCATGTGCAAAAAGGTTGTGGTCACAATCCAGATCCATCCTGAGCAGATTCCTGAGGATAAGCCTCAAAGCAAATACCTTTCCTCAAAATCTTAACCCAAGGCAGCAATTATCCTGTATTTCTCTTTTGAGGATGCGATCAGGGAGGAATAGGAAAAACCTGATGCAGATACCATATTAACAAGCTTACCTTAGGACTGCAA